CACGGGCACTTAACTGAAGTTTTGTGAAAAGTTGAGTCAAACACCATTTGAGTGCCTCTGTAATGCTTATTATTTATTATTTAATTTTGGTGATGAAATGCTGTACTCACCTAAGGAAGGATCTACTGTTAAAAATTTTTACTCTTTCCAGTTTCCCCACATGGGATTAACCCATTTTTGTGCCTTCGCTATAAGAATTCGGAATAATATTTTCCCCGAACAACACTGTAAGATTTTATAGAATGTTACAAGGTGCACTTTAAAATGGATATGAAGGCACTCAAAACACAAACTCATCTCCCCAAACCCTGATAGCAGTTTTCAATAATGAAAAAATATAAATACAGTAGCTTTTAATATAGTCTATATACAGTAGCTTAAAAAATGAAAATAAGTTACAAATGGCAATTTGGAAATACCATCACCATCATAAAAATCACCAATATACTGTATTTATTACAACTTCACACCTGGTTCTAGCAGGATTTATAGTTGAATATGGATATTTCAACCGTTTCTCTTTAAGAAGGAACGTCGCCGCCTGGTCACTAATGGAGATGACCAAGATTTCCTCTAATACATTCACACACAGCGAAACATACCATTCTGTGAAAATAGTGAGAAATAGTCAGTGAAAGACTGGAAAACTGCTAGATTCCAGAATCTCCTCCAGCTTATGATGCTGCACAGTACACCAGATGTAAACTAATTTGAGGATTAAACACACAAGTAAAGAGATCGCACTCAGCAAATACTAGGAGAAGGTGGAGATTGGAACAAAAAAATAAACGAGTTTGACTGTATGTGACTCTACCAAAACCTCCAAGTTAAAATACAGTAGGTCCCAATTCACAAGAATTTATTGGACAGAGATCTCACATAGCCTAAATGACTTAAATTATAGTACTGTATTTAACATCTGCATACTGAAGATATCCCTACTCCATAAAGATTAAATGGATAGAAAAATAAAACTGTATATGTACAGCAGCTCATAATTAACGCAATATTTTTCTTTCAGTATATCTGATGTACATGAGGAATAGATCTCTAAAACAAAATGCCAATTACACATACGTGATGCTTCGCTTTAATCTTCCATAGTTCTCTGAACATCTTTTAACTGTTAATGAATTTCTCTACAGGTCTTTTTAGGCATTTTGCATTTTGTGTGAATAAAGTTTTTCTAAGTCCTATTTTCACATCTTTAAAATAATGTCCAATCTTATTTCTTTGTGCACTGTTTCAAACTAATGAGAGACAAAGTCTTTGAGACAAAGTAAATCATTTTACAGACTAAGCAAAAAGATTATAATCACTCATTCTATAAGGAGGCAGAGGTGATATGTATGTGTTAAATCAGTGATGAATATTGATGCTTCAGCCCCCTTGTTCCCATATCACTGAGGCTACACAAAACTCAGTAACTGTTTCAGGAGAACTCAAAACCATTAAAGTCTTATACACTTTCATGCTGGATCACCTGTTTCTAAACATCCTATAAACCAGAAAGTTTTCAATGAATTAAGCGGGCAAAGGGCTACATTAAAGGAACTAGTCCTTAATGGCTGATTTTCTGTTGAAAATGATGTCTAAATGACTTAATATGTAAGTAGCTTGTTAAATGATCAGAGAGCATTCAAAGACTTCAGCGTGAGATTGAACTGGTAACCCGCTGGATCAGGGCTCTCCAGAAGGAGGGTTAGAAAAGTCTTCTCTAATGCCTTGTGGGTTATCTGGCAGACGAGGAAGTCTTTCAAATTGATCATGTCTCTTCTAATAGAGGGATACCAGATGGATTATTTTAAGCTACGTTTTTTTCTTTCTGCATGCTGTTTGTTGTCCCATTTAATCAGAGCTACTGCAGAAGCAACCGAGGCCTCGGGAGTACAAAAATCCAGTGCTGAAAAACAATGTACAGTATGAGGTGGGAGTGAATCAGTGTAAATTCTAAAACACTAAATCAGACTCTCAGTACAGAGAAACAGTGGATTTGCTTTAAACCATCAAACTCGTGTTGGATCACAAAATATCTAATGCATGATCAATTATTAATAATTTTTCATTCCATCTTTGATTTAAGGCAACAGGCAAAGACAAAAAAAACATCTTACATAGAACAATGATCTATTTCTTGGTCTGTATTAATCAAAAGGAAAAGAAGCAGTTGACTTAAGTCTCATCCCTGCATGTTAATTCCTAAACATATTTTACAGCTGTTACTATATTCTATAGACAAACATTGTTTTCCACAGCAATGTGCAGCTCTGACCGGAAAACAGAAACACTGCAACATATGGCACTTGAGATTACAGGATTACCCAATTAAGCAGGTGACTCAGAAAGCCACACCTAATCTCGAGATTTTCTAATTGATTATGAGCCCCAAAATGGCACAGACTTAAAGCCAATCTTATTGTACGTCTCTCACCTCCCACACGACCTTAAATTCCCCTCCCTTGTTTAAAAACAACAAACCCAAAACGTACACATAAAAAATAACTTTGTTAGTAGTTTCCTGAATCCAACTTCTGCATTCCGTCACTGAATCCAACAACCACAGAATGAATAGCAGTCATAACAGAAAAAGTGTTTAGTTAGCATTTAAATACGCTTTCTTAATTCCCGCCATCTGCCAGGCATAATAATGAAATGGTTTCAAACATTTTTCCACACGAGCCAAACACTATACACGTTACAAGCAGAATAATAGATTATGAGCTAATTGCCTTCTTTTGTCAATATTTTAGATTGATTTCAACTGTACCATTTTCTTTTTAAAACTTGGATCCGTTTGGCAATACGGATGCAGTTTTATAATAGGATTTTAAAATTAACATTGGCTCTTACCTAATAATGCGCAAGATGGGTAATGCTGAAATCAATAGAGAAATTAAAAGCTTCTCTATTCGTACCACAACCACAGCCTGAATATTTGAATATTTACCGTTTTCTGTGAATTCTAATTAAGCACACTCCCTTATTCTTTCTGGCCAGCACAAAGGCAGAAATTAGCTCTGCTTCTGTAACTCACAAGTCCACTTACCTGCAGATATTTAGCAAAAATGTACAGATCACAGCAGAAATAAGACTAATGAATGAAAATGAACAAATCTTACCTTGAGGGAATGGATTGGGCTGCACCACATATAGAAAGGCATGCACCATATGATAAAGAATTCCTATAGCTCCAGGTTCATAATATGCATGGGTATCGTAAACTCCAGAGGGAACAAACCCAAAATCCAAAGTTCCCGGTTGCGATATTTGCTTGGAACCTTGGGATTCAGACACAGTATAGCCCCAGAACATGAGAAGCAGCAGACCCGCTTTTCCAATCATGACTGTCTGTATGCAGGCAAAAAAGGAGAGAAAGGGGGAAAAAAAATGAAAAGAGTATTTTTCAGGCTGAAAAAAAAAACCTTGCTGATCTGTATGTTTTTTTTCCTCAGAAAACAGCTCTGAAGAACAGACAGGGCTGCATGTAAACTTTAAGTCCTTGACTCCTGGGATGAATTCATTGTAAACATCTCTCCCAGGTTAGGTGCTTGTAGGCTTGAGATACAGATGCTATTCCTCTTCAGCTCTTGGCTTGATGGTCCCAGAGTGCCTATCTGTGAGTGCTGAGAGGATGTGTGCTGGCGAGTGTGTGTGCGCGCATGTGTGTGTGTGTATGCTCGCGCTCTCTTCAGCTCTAGATGACAAGCGAACTGCTGTAGTAGCTGGGAACAGAACAGAGCCAATGCACCATCTTCAGCAGCGACAGGAAGCAGCTGCTCCAGTGAGAAGTACTCCTCCTGCTGGAAAGATCGGAGATAGGAAGCAGGAAGCCTGAAACACACCAAGGCAAAGAACTTATTAGGCTTTAAATAGCACTTCAAGTGTCCGTGTGTGCTAGGAGAATGTTAGCTTATACAAAAGAAATGACAAATTATGTACTTCTTAAATGCAGTTTAAGAAGAGTGCACACACTTTCTGTGCTTTAAGAAATTAACTTCGAAAGTACATTGGATATTTAAGTAGCAAGTAGCTTCAGATTTATGTTTCATTTCAATCGCGCAAAACAATATAAAATACAATATAATGTGTAACATTTCAATAGCTGGACAGGATAGCTAGAATTTCTACAGCTCCCCTCAGTCTAGTTAAATCCATGGCATCACTAACATGCAGTAATTATTACTCTAGTAATGTTATTTTACAGGGACATTAAACTTTTAAACTATTTCACTTCTATGTCAAACATAAGAATAAATAAAAATCAGTGTGGTGTCCCCCCTGACTGTACTCTGCTGTTTTTCATTTTACAGACAGAACTTTTAAAAGTCCTACTTTTTGCAAATGTCTGCTAAATCCAAAGTCCACTTAAACCAGGGTTTACTGTACTTTGGATGCTACACCATGTAAAATAGACACAATTGTAAGTAAACAAAAAGGCCATTTTTAGCGACTAAGAACTTCACCGTGGCACGGACCTGAATCTAAGTTATAAAACAGAAGCTTAACCCTTATGCAAATGTGAAAAGTTCTCTTGGCACAAAGAGATCCTTAACACCGGTACTTTAAAATGTAAAAGTAAAAAGTTCAATCAAGACATTAAACAAGATTTCTGAACTAAAAGCAATAATCAAAAACCAGTGCTGTACATTAAGGTGAGGGCTGCACAGTGTGACAACATATGGGTTAAACTGTGGAGGGGGGTCTGTTATGGGCTTTTGTTTTTGTCCTATATTCTGGGCTCGAGTTGCATTTTTCAACTCTTTTGCTGATGGTTGGAAGTTAATTCGGCTGGACGCTAATTGACCCATGTTAAACCCTGTAAGGCCTCAATATAAACCATAAAAGGGTGGGGTGGGGAAGGTTATCAGCGTTTGGACACCAAAGAGTGTTGGTGAGTTTTCCCTGGACCTAGTAGTTGTTGATTAATGGGGAAGTGACATAGAATTTGTTATAAGTCGGGGGTCTCAAGACCACAGCATTAGGTGAAGTATTCACCTTTGCTTAAATGGAACTAAGCTGAAACAATAATTATTATAATAATTGCCACTCAAAGCTCTTTAGAGGTAATGGGGACTCTCCTCCACCACCACCAATGTGTAGCACCCACATGAATAGGAACAATATGGATTTTTTTAAAAAAAGCTGGCACTTGACGACAACAGCTAACAACCTTCTATAGCTGGAAAACAAGGTTTAAAAAGCCCGGCTGTGATGACCAGCCTCCCAGAAGCGTCACGGCAGTCTAACAATACTCCCAGGTCATCCTGCTGAGTCACAGGGATGGCTGGTGCTCAGCAGAAGAGGGATAACAGTGCCTAGCTAAACCCTGGAATGGCCCTGATAAGCATCGTTCCCCTTAGCTGTCAGACGTCTGGGACGTGACAGGGGTTGAGCCATGTGGAAAGCACAAGACCCTGACTGAACGATGCCCGCCGCTCTCCAGCGGCACTTGGATGGGTTGATGAAATTCTGGTCAACATCGATAGAGGGGCATCATCTGCTACAAACACAGACCAGGGGCGAGTCAGCAATGCTTGGACAATGTGAACTGCTGACTGAGGGGAGTGTGGAGGTAGTTAAACACTTAAAACAGAGTATAAAATGAATTCATCATAATCCATGAAGTACAGTATTACTGACCTTCAAGGTGCTATGATGTCATTTCTGCCCGACTTAAAACTAATCAAAGTCTAATAGAAACAGATATCGGGATTCATCACTACACTGTGCGGCATGGAAGAAAACTTTAAAATTTCATGCCAGAAATGATATTCATTTATGCAAGATGGATAGAGTACAAAACCATTTCACTGCTGCGGCAGAAAATCAGATTGCGTCCCTGTTGATAACGAGGAAAGGGAAAAATCAGCAGCTTCTCCGATTTCTCTGCTTAACCTTTTACCACATGAAAATGAAACTAAATACGGCAGGAAAATAAAAGCTTCATAGATATTTTGCCAATTTCTCGTTCATCTGACAAATGCACGTTTCCCCTACTGTACGAGATTGTATTTCAGCAGTCCCCAGGAACTTGCTCTTCACCGCAGGTTTCCTGTGATGAAATGAACTGAGCTTAGCCTACAATACTTATGCCTACTGCCACACAACTGCATTGTTAACTGAACTTAGCTTATGTGTGGGAACTTCAGGTGGGCAGGGAATATGTACTAACATGCAATATTAGAAAAACTGGGAATTGAACCAAGCCACACATGCAAGAATGCGATTTAACAAGTATGACCACTGATCAATGTGCAGCATGATGGCACAGTGGTCACCCATGAAACGGGTTTCCTCCGGGTGCTCCAGTTTCCTCCCACAGCCTTAAGACATTCTGGTAGGTGAACCGGTTTCTGGGAAAACCGATCCTGGTGTGAGTGTGTCTGCCCTGCAATGGACTAGTCCAGGACGTACCCCACCTCCCACGCATCGTAAACTGGGATTGGCTCCAATTCCCCCTCCACCCTGTGCTGGATAAAGTGGTTAGAGAATGGACAATTACCTCCATAAAGGCTTTTGGCCCTGTTGCTAAGGATCCGCACCTGTGGCTGGAAGGCTGGTTCAAATCCCGCGGCCAGCAGAGGAATCCTATCTGTGTGTCTCATGGAGAGCAAGTTGGGGTGTGTGAAAAGCCAAATTCCTAATACAAGAAACTGCATATTGCCAATAAAGTGAACTGAGTGATCTCTTGTCTTATGAAACTAACTTAATGGGGTAACACTATGAAATGCTTCATACCTATTAAAAATCTTAAAAATGTCGTACTTATAATGACCTCACCAATCCGAAACAAAGCATATTCTCTGCAATTTTCTTTGTTTAGACTTACGTAATGGGTACAGTAAGAACTCCACACTCTTATTGCAACTAGGGGTGGGCGGTATAACCAGTATAGACCGGTACAAATATGTGCCACAGTATGGATTTGGCTATAACGTTTATACCGGTAGAGAATAGATTTTGATGTTTACACAGATTGCACCGCCAGCATTGTCGCAAAATGAGGTTTGGAAATTTTTACTATTGACCCGTCATAGTTTAAAATTCCAAAGAGCTTACAACAGGGTCTAAGGTTCTAAGGTTACATGTGCTATTCTCCCAGAATATGTACATGGGGCAGTGTGGTGGCTCTGTGGTTAACGATCCGCGCCTGTGGCTCGAAGGTTGCCGTTTCGTACCGGCTGGCAGAGGAACCCTAATCCATTGGGCCCCTGAGCAAGGCCCTTCACCCCAACTGCTCCAGGGATGCCGTATAAATGGTTGACCCTGCACTCCAGTTTTGGAAAGCACTTGAAACTTCTTCCATATGGGCTGAGATCTTAAAATAATTCATTTCAGTCCCTTATTAGAAGTTTCAATGGTGTTCAGAAGAATATCTTATTAATGCAAACCTTTTAAGAGTGAAAGCCTAGGTGCACATCTTCCTTTTTTCTTACTCTTAATCATACTTAAAGCTTGTTACTATTTCTATCCAACCTGGATCACTCCAGGTTCAATAGGAATTGATTAGCTGCCACAATGAGTGAGTAATAACACTCCTGGGTATTCACAGGAACCCATCTACTGCACTCTTGGGTGCACACACACTTGGATACCAGGATTACAGACTATCATTTGTGTGGGGAAGCATCCTGGAAAAAGACCTTGGGCAATAATTTGTTGATCGTCGAGACTCTGTATAATAAAAAGGCTTTGTTCAGCTGCACATCATAAAATGAGTTAAGATGTGTAAAGGTATGAACACAGGCTCTTATTCTGATATAGGAAACTAATTGCAAAACAATGGACATCAAACTAATGTAAAGGAACAAGTAAAGGTATATTCCATGCGGAAAAGAGAAGAAAAGAAACTGTTTTGACTGTGGAGCCTTGAAGAAGAATGGAATAGCATAGAATAAACCTCTACTTGTTCCTAAGCAGCCTATGCATGCTGACGCCGGTACCTACTTGAATTTTAACAAACTCATGTATCACTCATTTACACATGCATGCATTTAGAGAACTAGATTCCACAAACTGTGCTTCTTGATTATGATTTTGGGGTCATTTTGATTAACTGATCATCAATTACTTACCATAAGACACCTCATTAATGAGGGATGATTTACCCAGGTGAATATCAAGTACGGTAAAAACGAAATCAAGAAAAATACTGAAAGGAAACAGCATGCCTTGCTTAGCAAGGGAAGAAAACCCACATCGTCGTGTTGGAGGTAGGAGTAAGAAAATGCACCGTCACTCTGCCTGGAATGCTAACAGCCAGCAATTTCAAACCTGGAAAGAGGTTACATCCAAATCCAATCTCTCAATGATGGGCATTGATCTGGGAGACCCTGAGTCATAGCACCTTTCCAAGATCAAAGTGTATTTGCTATCTAACTCCATTTGTAGCGATTGATAGCAACCTGACATCTGGATGCTCCACTGATTGAGTCATTTGACCCCACAGCCCTTCTTGTGGGTTCATGCTGATGTTGCAGGACAACAAATGCCCTAATGCTGCTCCCGAAACAAAGGTTTTGATGAGCATGTGACCATTATGCTGACCAGCACTGAACATTTGTGGAATGAGTTGAGATGACATGTGACATCTAGAGCTCACAGACCAATGAATAGGGGATTACTTGTCTAGGCGGAGTGCTTGTGTCACAGTTGTACATTGTGACCCACAGTTGAACTCCTGCTGATGACAAATAATAAATCACACACTTTATGTTTCAAATAGGTTGTCGCAAAGATTACGAAGCTTTATTTTAATTCCTCATTTTCACCATTTCAAGTGATAGTACAATGTGTTCCTTGTAATTCATTTTTTTAATCATCCTTGTTTA